CTAGGGGCGAGCACTACAGGTATTGTCCGCATTGTGGGTACACGAGAGCCACCTCGTTGGGCACTTGGACGAGTGCAATAAATGTCTTACGGAATTTCTTGTGGGACCAAGAAACGAGCTCGAAGAGCTTTCCGTTTGGCAAGCTCATCCCTCGTTCTGGCCGGAGGCCCGATGATGTGGACGCGAAACGATTGAATTACCGCGTCTTTCGCTTCCACAGCGGGATCCGCGGGGTGGAAGCCATATGCCACGAGGGTGAATGGCCGACCGTGGATAGGTGCGCTTCAGAGCCGCCTTAGGGTCAGCTTCCAGCTGCCGCCTCTAAGCCCCGTCTTGGTTATTGAAGATTCAACCACGTCCTTCGGGTGACGAGAAGTCAGGGAGCGGACATGGGTCCGCAAGGCGCGAGCAGGGCTCGTATCACGCCGCTGGAGCAGCTCATCTTCCTCGTCATCCCAATCGGGAAAAGGAGTGTCAGACACGTTGTCGACCACATCCACATCCTCAACGAGGACACTCGTCATTGATTGCGCGCGCAAAGCGCGACGCTCGTGCTCATCAAGCCTAGGATGTACATTCTTCGTTGCCGCGGAAGCATTGTCCGACATTGCACCGCGTGCGGGGGACAAGTTGGGCTCTGCCGTGTTCGCTGTTAGAACCAGCGAGACTTGGTGACTTCAGTGTCGTTGACACAGGGCTCATTGAGCATGGAAGGAGTTTTATTCCAACGAATTAAGTTGCAGTATCTAGCGGACACGCAAGCCTCGTTGAGGCAATAATCGATTGGAACTGTAGATGTTCTCAGTCTTAATGGGGGAGAGTGTAACGGGGTTACACGTACTTTGGTAACAGGTGTGTGTGTCACACGAGATGGACATGGTGTGACTGCACTAAAACAAGAATACGGTATGCGGCTAGGTAGCCAGTAGTAATGCACGTATTTAGATTTTACTCTATTTATTTAGGAAAATCAAAATATTTAAAATTAGGCGGCTTCGCCGCAGATAAAAATAAATAAAAATCAGTTTTTAATCTCAAACGGAAGAGTTAATAGC